TAAAAGAAGCAGTGCAAGGTATTTAATTGAAGGAGACCAAATTTAGAAGTACAGAGTCCTCAATTACTTATGAGTAATTGTTGATAAGTGGACATACTAAAGTCCAGCCACGCAAAAGCCAGATGGGGAATCTTAAGACACAACTAACAATTCCTCCAGGTCACTAAGAAAAAGCAAAGTATCTATTTGAATAATTAGGAAGGGAGTCAAAGTTTATAAAAACAGACATTCACCTGTCTAGTTATTTACATGACAATTGTCACAAGAGGCTAGGGGTGCCTTCATGAAAATGAAGTAAACCATTAGTTAAAGATATACATCTGGTCAATATACATCTTAGAGAATTAGCATATGAATTTAATGTACCACTGACAGCTAATTTTGAAGAGTCGTGCATAACTGAAGATAAGGTTTAAAAAAAGAGATAAGTAAGTGAAGCTTGATTAGATGGTGACTAAGTGTGGGGAAATAAGCGGAAGTCACACATCCACTGGGACATTTACAACGAGCCCACGCAACACATAAGCAAACCTACAACAGAGAACAGTCCTTTACTGGCAGGGGATGGACTAGAAGGCATAATATCTAATTTCTAATGGTCTCTTGAGAAACATGTACAAGTCTCTCATAATTCTTCTTTCTAAATAATTAAAAATTAAATATCACTGTTTTGGAAGAATGGAGCTAGGTCTCTTAATTCTTTCACACATCCTTCTTCCATGTCTAGGGACTGACACCGGAAGTTAAAGTCAGGTTTTCAGCTGAATTAAAACAAGTCAGGTGAAAATCCAGTTCTAAGCAACCATCAGAAAACTACCATAGAGTACTAGATGAAAGCAACTCAGCACTTTAGGAAATGCTTGCACACAAGCTCAACTGTTAAAATCCCTTAATTAATTAATATTTTTAAAGCACTGTGAAAATAAAAAGTTCTATATTATTGCTTTACCCTCTTCAGTTTCTATTAAATAAATGTCAAGTAGAGAAATTCCAATACCCCATTCATTCAAAACTATGTTTGTAACCCCATTTTGTGTCCAGTCCAAACATTGCAATCCTGAATCTCTAGTCCTGCTGCTGACAAGCAAAAAAATGGCAGAAGCAGCCGAACTGGTCAGTTAAAAAGTATGTGAAAAATTGAACTCAGTTCCAAGC